ATTTTATAACAGGCAGGTGCGGAGGAAGGCAAACCTCTGTCATCTTATACTCAGGCCATCCTCTCTTTAATGATTTTCAGCTGCTTCCCTCAAGTCGTCGGTATAAAGTGCCTGCAGTGAAGACAAAGAGAGATACCGTGTCTTTTGTAACTGCTGCTATTATCATGGTTAAAAACACTAAACCAGCTTGTTGCACTTTTTTGATGATAAAATTTGGGCCATTTGTTTTTGTTTTGTTTTTTTCCATGTGTGTTGTGTTTGTTTGTTTTTGTCTCTCTGTATGGACACACTACAAATCACTTTCTCACTGGGGACAATAAAGTTACCCTTCGATGACGGTGTCTCAATTTTGGCCGGGGACGATGCACTCTGAGCCTTCTTCATTATCTTGGAGAGCGTCTAAACTCTCCCCGTTGTCCTCCAGGGTGTTAGAGATGAAAGGACAGATGTTGTTAGTTATATGACAATTGATTAGTATATTTGGTATAATTGAAGTTTAAAGAAACTTTGTTAAATTCTATGCTACCATTTTTTCCGCCAAATCTCCAGCGTCTGACGTCACCTACAACATGGGTTGCTTACCTTTTCCCGTCACTTCCGTCACTTACCTCCTTCCTACCTTTTTTTAATATCTTGCTGCATCTTGTATAAGTTCATACTCAAGTTTAAATAAACAACAACACTAAAGCTATTCTGTTATACCTGAATGCAAAAAATACACTGCACCCAAAATATTTCATAGTTCAGCAACACTGATCAATCTAATAAACTTAAACCTGCTCCATCCTCCCTATTCTGGTATTTTAAAGATTAAGCAACCTAACTAATAGGGTTGCAAACTCCCAGCAAAAAAAAATAGGGAACCACCCCCCACTTCATGATGCTTAATTGAGGTAATCAACTTTAATTTGATGCAGTGTGAAAACAATGCCTAGAAATAAATTATTTTTCAAGAATAATTAAATAGATTCAACATCTTTCTTCAACAGAATTGCAGACTGCACAGATGGTTCCCAAAGGAAAAAGTACTATAGCTTACTAGGGTATATTAGACTTAACAGTTACTATATACAGTAATGGACTTCTATACATTTTACATCAGATTAAATCTTTGGGTGTAAGATTCAGATAATTATTTATTAAAAGCTCGACATTTTAAATGAGAATAAGAAAGAAAAGTATGTCTTTGTGCCCCCTTTTCCCTGTTCATGCCCTATCGGCCCCCCTGGCTAAACTTTGCTAGATCCGCCCCTGCACAGTTACCAGCCGTCAGCTGTAGAAAAAGATACTGGTGTAGAAAGTAATATTAAATAAATTCTAACAACAGCTTATCAAGCTTAAACGTGCTGCTGTTGTTCAGCCGCTGGTTTCCTCTTTCTGGTGAGAAGTGGGCGATAAACAAACAAGAGAGACAATCAGCTGATCATTGATCAGTTTCATGATTGAAGTAGCAGCAGGAGGGGGGGGGGGGGAGAGAGAAGAATATATCGGTTGTTAAGCTTAAAGCTTTGCAAACATTCAGAGATGAACTTACACACTTGCTTTAATTCTCTCTGGGATAACTTTCTCGGAGATAAAATGCCGGTTTGGTAGCGAGGCTCTAAATGCTGAACCAGACCCCGTACAGGTCTTGCACGCCACAACCGCTCTATCAGGTGACGCATACTGCTCTGCCGTGCTATGGTTATGAGCCGAGTTATGCTGGGCTTACACCGTGCGATTTTTGGCCCATTTTGAGACGATTTTTGAGTCGTGCAACCGTTTTGGTGATCGGCCCGAGTTTGGCCTTCATCGTGCGTCGTGCATCGTGTAGTATACATGGGGTAACGAGAAGCGATTAACACCTCGCGACCAGCTCCCGATCATCAATCGCTTGGTCGGGAGGATTTCAATCACGACGGCTCACACTGCGCATGCGCAAACACATAAATGTCAGTGAAAAAGACGTAGTAGCACAGCAGTGAAGCGTGTGATCTGGACACTAGCGATGGAGGCACAACTTTTAGAACTTTGGAAAGCTCATCCGAGCCTTTTCGATGTGGCCTCACAAAATTATCACGACCACAACAACCGTAAAATAGTTGGATTTACATTGCTGCTCAATCACAGCTGCTTGATCAATGTTTTTCATTAGCAATTTAGCAAAGTTGATAGTGGTGGTGTCTGTGTGAGTGAAAGACAGAGAGGGAGAGCGAGCGACAGATTTTCTGTTATAAGCTTCATTTTATGGACGCACAGTGTGAGCACTCAGGTAGCATCAGAGCATCAGGCCGTATAGTGTGAGACCCTGCATCGTGACCTACGAACTTCTAAACCCTGTGAATCAATCGTGCAGTTTGAGCAGGAGCTGAATCGCGCGACTGAAAAAATCGCACAGTGTATGCCCAGCTTTACGCCATGTTGCAAGTTTTGTGAGGTGCTTTTTTGATATTTAATAGATCGAAATACATTTTTTATTTCTCTCCGATATCCGATCCAGTAATTTATGTCAGTATCGGACCGATACCGATACGTAATATCGGATCTGTCCATCTCAAGTTGCAACTGGAGGTAGCTCTTTGTTGTTTGCCCTGACTTGACTAACCAGAGCCAGTTTTCATCTGATGAGTTCCTTTGCCAGGGTGAGCAAAATTTGTATGAAGAAGTGACCTATAGAGTCTTGGAGTCTCTGCACAGAAGAAGATACAGATGTGAAACCAGCTGAGATGGAATATCTGTCTCTGATTATATTTCCTGTTCAAACTCAGAATTCAATTAGTGTGAAGTTTTTACCCACTGCTGACACACACTGATTCACTGTGGAATCAGTGTGTGTCAGTGAATGGATCGTGTGTGCTTCATGGCTCTATCTAGTGCAATGATTATCAAACTGTGGTCAGTGTTGGGGAATAACGGAATACATGTACCGCCGTTACGTATTTAAAATACAAAATATGGTTTTCCGTTACAGTTACCGTTTAAAAAGGTGGTATTTAGAATACAGTTACTTTGTTGAAATAAATGGATTACACGGCGGTACTTCCCTGTTTCATATTGTGGCGGGTCAGGCCTGTTTGGGTTTTGTTTGACAGCTACGTTCTGTTGTTCCAGGCGGCAGCGTTACGGTTGCCATGGTTACAGGGCGACGCTCTCTCTCTCTGCGTCTCTCTCTCTCTGCGACTGTGTGATTGGATATCCCACCCATCTGTGAATGTTTTAATGTAGTACAGTTATCGTCGCTTGTCACATCCTGTTTATTTCGTGGAAACTGTGTGTGGTGTTAAATAGGCCGATACTACTATATTTTAATGTCAGTCATAAGGGTGCTACTCCAAGAGCTATACATTTTATGAGGTGGTACTCATTCTGAAAAGTTTGAGAACTAGTGGACTGATAATAGAAGTAGAGCAGCTGATGAGCAGCTGATGAGCAGCTGATGGCAGCTTCCTCTGCCTCACACTGTCACTCGCTGTTCACCTAACTGTTGTCTGACCGCATTCAGCTGACAGGGAGATGAAGCAGGAAAGAAGCAGCTGATATTTGGAAAGCACACATGATGGAAAGGAGGATTTCAGTTGGTGTGCACATAAATGATTTGTGTTTCCTCTGCAGGTGAAAGTAGAAAGTGTGTGTGAGTTGAATCGAGCAGCATGGATCAGCGTGAGGACAGAGAGGAGGGAGTCCCTCCCTCTAAAACCACTCTGTGTGGGGAACATGAGAGCCAGACCAAAGCTCAGAGGTGAGATGACCATCTCTAATTGTCCATGACTCTTCTCCATGTCACAGCTCAGCACTCACATCACTGCTCCATCATTATTCACAGGAACCAACCTGGACCTCCACCCAGCTCTGTGTCCTTAAGGAGTGATTGGTCTAAAGATGAAGCCATTGAATTTAAATCCCAGCCTCTGTCTGCTGCAGAGAGGTGAGCTGTTAGTAACATGAACACTTTGATCTCAGTTTGGTGTCTGATTTAAACGAACTGCTTGATGTTGTTTCCTGGTATCTAAACTGCATCTCAAAGAAAGTCACTGAGCGAAGAATTACTTTCATCCTATAAAACATTAAACTCCTGCTGCTCACAGTAGGACCATCAACAGTCCTGCACAGTGTAAATGACTGTGTTTACCTCTGAGTGGAGCTCTTTTCTTAGACTGCCAAGAGTAGTTTGGAGTTTCCTTCAGCTCATGCTCAGCCTGCAAACATGTTTCTATTTGGGATGATGAAGGTATTGTAAGTCTTCTTCAGCTTCTGTGGCTGCAAATGAAAAACACATTATTCTCCTCTAACAGGATCATAGAGAGACCTGCTGGACCTGCACCCAGCTCTGTGTCCTTAAAGAGTGATCGGTCTAAAGATGACCCCATTGAATTTAAATCCCAGCCTCAGTCTGCTGCAGCGAGGTGAGCTGTTAATAACATGAACTCTTTGATTTAACTGCTTGATGTTGTTGGATATAAACTGCAGTGCAAACACGTCATTCCCCCAATCCCATTTAAACTGTCTCTTAAAAACAAGCCTTTGGTTTGTAAACAACTGAAAATACACTTTAGCAAACAGGAAGTGAAATATGCAAAAAAACAACATTTTATTCAAAAATGTAAAGTAAAACAGAAAGTAACTGACTGAAAGACGTCTTATTTGATCTATCTATCTAGAGAAGGGGGACAGGGAGGGACATAAGAAATACAGATATAAATAAATAAATAAAACAAGCAAACTGCAGAGACGTCTTAATATTTGAAATTTCTTCATCAGATTCAGAACTGTGTGTAGGCAGGCAGGAAAAAAGACCCAAGTGCAGGACTTGTGGAGGCAGAAGTGAACTCAAAAGAAAAGCGAAATGCAAAACTCAAAATGGCACATGAACGAAACAAACGGGCAGGAACGCTGGTGTGATATGACAACGAGCACTGAAGGACAGGCAAACACACAGGGAACAAGGATCAGAAGGGAAACACAGCTGATGCAAATTAACTGACGGGACCAGGTGGACGCAAAACTAGAAGCATCAACATGACACATCCTGCATCCTCCCGGTCCCCAAAAAGAACAATCCCAATGAGCTGAATGACTTCCGACTGGTGGCACTGACGTCACATCTTATGAAGACTCTAGAGCGGCTTTTCCTCAACCTCCTCCAACCACAGGTACAACATGCCCAGGACCCAATACAGTTTGCCTACAAGGCAGATGTAGGAGTGGAGGATGCCATCCTGTACCTCCTACACAGAGCCCACTCACACCTGGACAAGGGAAAAGGCATGGTCAGGATCCTTTTTCTTGACTTTTCCAGTGCCTTTACCATCCGGCCCTGTCTGCTCCAGGAGAAACTAAATAGGATGCAGGTAGACCCCTGCCTAGTCGCTTGGATCTCCAACTACCTCACTGACAGACCACAGTACGTCAGGCTGAAAGACATCACATCAGACACTGTGGTCAGCAGCACAGGAGCACCACAGGGAACTGTGCTGTCCCCTCTTCTCTTCACCCTGTACACCTCTGACTTCTGCTATAACTCTGAATTATGCCATATTCAGAAGTTTGCAGACGACACGGCCATCATGGGGTGTATCTGGGATGA